AAATTAGATTACATAATCAGATTTGAAAGGAAGTAGAATGATGATATTAAAAAAAGAACAACACAAATAATATTTGAAAAAGGTAATGAGGAGAAATTTCATAATATGCATTGGAATATAAAATTTAGAAGTGGAGAAAATACTATAGAAGAATTGATAGAAAATAAACCAAGGAATTGATGGAACAGAGATTGTTATTGGAGATACTGTTTACTAGAACCAAAATTTTTCTAAATATAAAATAAAATATCTTTAGGATTATCCAAATATAAATAAATTATTTATATATTATAAAACTAATAAAAGAACCAATGAAAATCAGAAGAAGATTCCAATAAAAAATCAAAAATAGATTGATTTTTATTTAAATGAGAAGTACTGTACATTTTACAAAAAAACTAAGTATTTAATTAAATATAAATTGAAAAGTTTAATTTTTATTAATTAAAATAATAAATAAATAAAATAAATATCAATTATTAAAAATTATTGTAATTTATTCATTATTACTACTAAAACTAAAAACATCATTTTGAAAAGCTTTATTAATTTCTAGCATTAATCTATTGTATTCATCACTATCATCATCTGTAATAGAATTATAGCTACTATCTTCACTCATTTCTTCATAGTTAATATAAGTTTCAAATTGAGTATTATAAATATTATTATTATTATTATTTTTTTTAAATTCGGCAGTCTTGCCTTTACTGTTTATTAGTACTCTAAGGTATTGTGGTTACAAATATATATATATACATTTACAACTATCTAATTATTTACAGATAAGGCTCACCCGGTTACTAACTTAGTATTTATGTGTGACTTGCTATATGAGATTTTACCTCCTTAGTAACCGCCCTTTTGACCAGACCAATTACTAAATCACTGGATGGTTCCCAAACCTATGTTTATCATATATATCCCACTTATATACTACTGTACAACGTCTACCAGCCAACTTCTACCTCTCAGTACTTATCACATTACTCCTAATTTGTTTCTTGTACTACTTCCAAATTGGTGTCTTTCAAGTGGGTGCTCTTGGTACTTCCAGTTTGGTATCTTTGGGGAGCTACTTTAAGAATCTAATTTGTATCTCAAGCCAGGTGCTGCCAGGTCATAAGACTCGTATCTCAAGCTACCTGCTGCCGTACTAGGGTGTTATTTCACATCGATCCAGGTATTCGCATCGTACACCACCAAATTATGCTACCAATCCTTCTATAGTACTCCCTATTGGTATGGTGATACAGGGGTCTGGATCCTTAGAATGGGAGTTAAGTACCTCATTTAATTACTGTTACAATTCAGTAACCCGGAAATTATAAATATTATTATTTTTTAAATCAGATATAATATAATATAATTTATTTAAAAAATCATTAACACTACTAAAGAGTTATTATTATAATAATAATATTCATTGGCCACATTAAAACTTTGACCAAAAAAAAATTTAATTTATGATTATTTTGATCAACTGTATGTTGAATAATAATATCTTTTTCTTGAATAATATTATCCTTTTGACAAATAACTTCTTGTAATTGTAAAATAGGTTGAAGAGCTGAATCCTCAACTTCTAAAAGTTTTTTTTCAAGATTATAAATTTTATCTTGATATTGGTCAAATTCTTATTTTTTTTTTCTTTTTTCTTCTTTTAATTCAAATTGAGAATTGTATAATTCTTCATTTAAAGATAAGTTGGACATTTTTTCTTTGATAGTTTGTTTATACAGATATAATTTACAACTAGTTTGTTGTATAAAAATTAAGTGGTTAAACATAGAGAAATTAAAATAAAGTTTCTTATTTAAATAAAAAATCAATCTATTTTCGATTTTTTATTGGAATCTTCTTCTGGATTTTTATTGGTTCTCTTATTGGTTTTACAACATATAAATAATTTATTTATATTTGAATAATTTTATAAATATTTTTTTTAGATACAATTGGTTAAATTAAATACTTAGTTTTTTCCAAAATATACTCAGTTTTTTTCAAAAAATATAATTAGATATGATTGGTTAAATTAAATACTTAGTTTTTTCCAAAATATACTCAGTTTTTTTCAAAAGATATTTAATATGATTGGTATGATTGGTTAAATTAAATACTCAGTTTTTTCCAAAAAATATTTAAAATAATTAGATATGATTGGTTAAATTAAATACTCAGTTTTTTTCAAAAGATATTTAAAATAATTAGATATGATTAGTTAAATTAAATACTTAGTTTTTTCCAAAAGATACTTAGAATAATTAGATATAATTAGTTAAATTAAATACTCAGTTTTTTTCCAAAACATACTCAGTTTTTTCAAAAGATATTTAAAATAATTGGATATAATTGGTTAAATTAAATACTCAGTTTTTTACAAAACATACTCAGTTTTTTTTAAAAATTAAAGTAAAAGATTAGTTTTAGAACAAAATTTATACATATAAAAACTCTTTTCGATGATCATCTAGACCAAAATTTTCCACTGAACAAAAACAAAAATTTTGTTAGAGAGAAGAAGACCTGCTTATAGGATAGTTTATGTAAAGATCAACTTGCTTCTACAGGGGACTCCTTTATACATTTGGCATGCAAACCAGAAGCATTAGGAAACAAGATAACTGGCAGAAGTTGGCACCCTTGGTTCCAAAATTCTGGAAAGAAGGTGCTTATGAGAAGTTGGGGCCTCTTGTCGATAAAGTAATCTATAACACAAAAAAATAGAATAGAAGGAGAACAACAAATAAGTTTTTTATAACAACACTCTTTGGAAATTTGGAGACATTTTTTGAATAACATATAGCTAGCATGGTTTAAAAGGAGCCTTAATGTGAGACATAGGAAAAGGAACCTATTATAGGCACAGCACTTGTCATTTAAAGATAGTTCTTATAGCTACCTGCTAACAAGTTTAGAGTTTATTACTTACCGAAAAACTTAATACTGTGCAGGCTTAGGTAAATATTTCTTTGGTATTTTCTCTTGGTATTTTTACCTCTCTCTTACTTTTGCTATTTTTTCCAAAATTTTCAAAAAAAGTGGGCATTTGGGCTCACCTCCTCCAAAAGATCGGTATTGTTTATATCTTCCTAATTTAGATATACTCAGTAAAATGCAACCACATATTTGTTTTGTTTATCAATACAGTGCTACGGTATGAGGAAGAGATCGGTGCCCCCATTTAGAAAATACCTGAGTTTCATTGGTACCTGAAACAAGTCCTCTACGATAAGGCAACATCTTACAATCGAGATATATTAATTAGTTGCAATTATTATATAATTTTTATCTTTATGCCTAGCATGGGCTATAATAGTATGTCATGGCTACCTTTTTTTTTTTTTTGCTTTTTTTATCTTTGTTCATTTTATATTAGACTATTTTAGAATTTGTTGAAAGTTTTTTTTTTTCCACCATGAGGTGTTTTTTTTTCTAAAATGTTTGTCTTTTATAAACATGACTTTATATATATATTTTTTATGTATGAATAAGAGTTTTAATTGTGTTGTCGAGCTTAGGTGAAAGAAGTCTGAAAGAAGAAGAGGTAGTTATAACAGGTGGCAAGGTTCACTGTTGAGAGCCAGATCATATCCAATTGCAGGAGGGGTCTGGAAAGAGGGAAATCTTGCTATAGCAGGTCGAACATAGGTACCAATTGGGGTAACCAGGTTAGTCTTAACTTGTAATTTAGGTAATATTAGGTTTAATGCTACAGTGCTTGTCATTTAAAGATAGTTCTTATATGCTATTTGCTGACAAGTTAAGAGTTTATTGCTTACCTTTTTAAATGCAACTTAGTGTAAAATTTTATGAATCTAGAAAAGTTATACAAAGCCTAATAAAGTTAAAGTATGACTGCCAAATTTTTTTTTAAAAAAAAAAAAAAAAAAAAAAAAAAAAGAACAAAATTTATAATAAATAGGTTAAATAAAAACTCTTAATTTAATTTATTATAATCTGTAACAATATTATTGTAATAATTAATTTACATATAGTATTAGCACAATAGCAAATAAATACAGTATAATTTATATTATCTGGTTTAAAAAGTAATTTTATTAATTTTTTGAAAAAATTTTTTGTTATATATAATTAAAAAATTAGTATAGTATATGTGTAACTTTTAACGTAAATACACTTATAAAGAGAAGTTTTTATAATATACTATTTATAATTAATACAGTATATTTTAAAAAAAATTTGAAGTTTAGTTATTATACTTTTATATATACTGTGAGTATATATACTTTATATATAATATATTTTACAATATTTAAATTTTCTATTATAGTACAAATTGAACATAACAAAGGTTTGTATAAACGTAATACAGTTTTTATCATATACAGTCTTTGTTATATCAAAGAACTTTACTATCATCAAAGAAAAAAAAACCAATCGAATAATGATTTATAAACAGGAAAAATGATTATATAAATTTATTAAGCAAAAAAAAAAAATAAAAAAAATAATAAAAAAAAAAAACAAAAATATTCTATATAACATAAAATGTCCAATTTCAATCAAAGCAGTGACTTAAAAAATTTAACATATATTTAATTAATAAGAACTTTATATAACTAAGCAATATTTGGAGGTATTAAAATTCTTATATGTAAAAAAAGTTGCTTAGAAAGTCAACATTCGATAATAAGCATAAAGTAACACGAAACTTCAATAACTTCGTTAAACTAGTAAGATATTACACGTTAAAACTTACCAGTATCTCATAATCTCAAGTTTCTACGAATGCAATGCTTTATATAAATCAAAGTTTATTGTGAAAGGTGTATAAAGAGGTAAAAAAAAAAAGCAGAATCGAGTCCATACGAGTAAAACAAAAAAAAAATAAACAAATAGAAAGAAACCACTGAATGTTATGCACTAGAGATTATAACAACACAACACACACAATAGAGGGACACAAGGGAAGGCAAATAAAAAAATATATATTTTTCATAATGCAACAATATGTCTATCTATAGAACTCGTTAAATTTAGCGACCAAAGTTCTGCGTTGCCAACCTTTGGCCCCTATATCGTATTACACTATTATGAATTCAAATTAAATTGTAAGAAATAAAACTGCAAGAGGTAAAATAGCAAGACGCAAACAAACATATACAAAAATAGATTAATATCTCAATCATTTACTTACTAGCATATTTGCGCGTCCACTCTCGAGCTGTCGCTTCATAACGGGCGCGGTCAGTCTTGTAAACATGAGCAATTTCAGGTACGAGTGGATCGTCTATAGTAGTTAAAAATTACTTTAGTCTGTGTACAACATGTTTGATAAAAATAAGTATGACATATACCTGGGTTAGGATCAGTCAACATCGAACAAATAGACAAGAGCACTGAAAATGATAATTATTAACGTATATTAGAATTTATATAGGAGAAACAATTACGTAAATGAATATATTTTACCTTTCGAAATGGTAAGAGCAGGTGACCATTGGTCTCTTAGAATATCCAGGCATATACTTCCATTACTGTTGATATTCGGATGGTAAATTCTTGTCGTAAAATTAACCTTAATAATGCACATATATGTTTTATTTATGTTAGATAAATGTTAGTCTTTACATATTATTAGCGAGAGAAAATACCTTCGGTGGTTTGAATGGATAATCTGTAGGAAAGTGGATGGCAAGAAAAAATACACCACCAGTGTATGGAGATTCGGTCTAATACATATGAAAGCGAAAAATCAGTTCTAATCATTTAAATAATTCAATGAATACTAGTGTGAATAGAACATTACTTACAGGGCCCATAATTGTTGCTTGCCAGTGAAAAAGATCTTCTCCAATAGGACCAGCGCTGCAAGACGAAGGTGGGTCTCGCCCTAAGTCATGCAATTCCTAGAAAATAAAATAAAATGAGCATCAAAAGAAAAACGTTGTAGTCAAAAAAGTTCAATATTGAACAGTATTCTTCAACCAATATACCCAGTGCTAGCTTTAAATTACACGGGCTTTACTTGTATCATTTTACAATCAAGTTTAAAAACGAAGTCGATAATAAAGTAGAAACTACCAAGCCCTTGATCTGGGTAGCTGTAACGCCTTTATTCAAAGCGTTGTTTTATTCTTTGAGATTTGTAAAATAACCCAACAGCCACCAAGGTCCGAAAAAAAGTCCAAACATGTTTAAACGAAGTAAGGCAAGTATATTCCTGTGCCCTTTTAAAGAAATACACTTTAACTTACTTTATTAATTCTTTTCAGAGCCATTTCGTTTGTTGCAAGTAGAAATTATTAAGTAGAAAAAAGTATGTTGTAGAAAGAGATGAACAAAGTCCTTTTTTTTTAAGGTTACAAGGCTAGTTTACAGCGGGGGTGTGGAATATTGTGGAAGGGTAAAGATTGATTACCAAGGCAATCAATTTTGGTTTGGGGGGTGACCGGGTTTTTTTATAAATAGTAACAGCATGACCTTGCATCCCGCAGTTGTTTCCAATCAAACTGTTTGTACAATCACGTGATTGTCACGTCACAGCCTAATCTTCTCTTAACAGTTTTCTGATTCGCGGAATTGCTTTTTAAAAAATTCCGATATGCAAGTTTAATCAGCACATTATGAAATGTGAAATATTCAAAATAGATAGACTAATTTCATTGTGAAACAATCTTTATTATATAACAGGAGATTCAATCCTCATATGTTCAGCTATGTCATTAAGATAATGTCTAAATTTGTTAATTATTATATGTAGAGTTTAAATCATTATCTGGATCACAGCTATGAAATAACTAATACGAGTTTGTTCTTTATACTTTTCAGCAAGCATATGTTGAAAGCCACATATATACTTGATATTTACTACTAATCTTTATTATAACTAATTTATAGCTTGTAAATGAGTTATTTTCGTGCTTTCATTGATTCGAAAGCTTTTGCCCGCAGTTGCTCAAGTTGCTCTAGTTCGGACATCGACGTCTATAAATATATATATAAAGAAGAAACATATATATATAAATATGTAGTTTTAACAACAAATTTATATATTAGTTAACTAATCTCTCCTTTAAAAGAAAGAGTGTACCTTTTTGTTTTCTTCATCGTCTTCATCATCATTCCATTTTGACTTGAAGATAGGTGCATCTGCTACCTTTTTTCTAGGCGGTGAATTTTGAACTGAATCAGTTTCTTCAACTGAATCGACTAATCTTTTCCTAGCTTCATCTTCAGTTGCAACATAGCCAGTGTGTTGATCATGATAATCTCTTCCTGGAGAGGGAGTAGAACTATACTTTTCAGAAGATACCTTTGTAACAATTTCTTCCTTGGAAAGACGACGCCGTTTACTTGTGTCCTCTTCCTCTCGACTTCTACTACGACGCGATCTTCTTTCTTCATACCTTCTTTTTTCTTTGCTTCGACTTCTACTACCACGTCGGTGGCTCTTATGCCTTCGGCGTTCTCCACTACGTTCCCTAGTAATACGATCTCTGCTTTTACTTCTACTTCTTCTATGCGATCGTCGTTGATGTCTACTCTCGGCACTCCTACTTCTCCTATGGGATCGTCGTTGATGTTTATTTTCAACACTTCTACTTCTACTACGACTACGAACCCGGTGGGAATTTCTACTCCTACTACGTCGTCGGACTGATTTCTGGTCACGATCCTATAAAGATTTACTTGTAAGACGAAATTGATTTGGAATGAAACAATAGAAATTCGGTCTATCAACCCCAACCGCCACATTAATTACATCTTAAATTTTAAATTCACACTATACCCGTCTTTCTCGTTCTTCTCTACGCTCTTTTTCTCTAATTTCTCTAAATTTTGCTCTTTCTTCATCTTCCCTTTCACGCCTCCTTCGAATTTCAGCCATGATACGTTCATCATCTTCCTGTAATTACAAGTATTAAATATAACTTCAAATACGAATAAATTCGGTATTTTAAATCTTTAAACCTTTCTTTTGCGAATTTCTTCCATCTTCTGCTCAAGAAATATGGCTGGAATTCCACTTTCACAATCTTGAGCTGATAAGAGTAATTTCCATAATTCTGTAACAAAAATAGGTGCATTTCTTTCCAGGAAACCCGTGAGGTTGATTTGCATCATTCTAGGATCAAGATCCTTGTAAACAAAAATAAACACAAGTGGTAATTGAGATGTTAATTTATAAAACTTTGTATTATAAAGCAAGTATGGAATCTAAAAACCTTTATAATATAAAAAGTTGACTAACCGTTTCTTCTAATAGTCCGAATACATAATTAACAACAACCTCGTCTTCACCTCCTAATAAATCAACAATTTTTTGTGCGATCCAAGGTTTGATGACTGTCATATTAACTCTTTTCAAATCAACCTATCAAATGAAAAAAAAATGAAAAGAATGACATTTGAGATGAATCGTTTAGATAACAATCAAGACGAATTTTGTACACATTTATCCATTACCACGTTCCCTCTACCAAAGAAATGGCGAAGAAATTATCCAAGAACATTTGAAACCAACGACCCAAAGAAAAGAAAATTGTGCGGATCAGTCCAAACTTTAATCGCAAATATTAAAAAAAATCTATGTTGCCTTAATGGGCGATTGAATATCCAGAAAAAGATAATGGCGAACTATTCTCGGCCTTTTACGAGATTGTATGGATAGCATAGAATCACAAAAAGCAAAACTAAAATTTTTTATTGGATGTGTTCATTAGCAAGGTTCTAAAATTAATTGGGCCGTATGGTCGACTAAAGATCAGCGAGGCGTGATACAGGACTCAATGTTGAAGAGTAAAGTGCCCAACGAATGGTTAAAAAGGGCCATACATAATATTCCTTGATTTGTAAAAAGAGAAAAAAGATTCTGATTTACCTTTCTATTAAATTCCGCGGGAAAATTCATGCTTTTTAATAACTTTTTTTGTTTATCTGAAAACCGGCTGTCTTGTTCCAGGCTAGTGCCCTGTGTAGATCACGAACAAAGTTAATAATTATAAATTGCCTTGGCATAGAAGGATTGAAGGCAAACCTTGAAGAAGCCTCCGTCTCCCATCGTAAATCAAGTTTATTTCAGAGGATGCACGATCGAGCACTTTCAGTTTTATACAAACGACGCAGAGATTTTTTTTTTTTTTTTTTTTTTTTTTTTTTTTTAATCATGAATAATCATTTACACTATCCAATGATTTTGCAGAAATTTGTCTGCATTAAATTTGATGTCGTAACCAGTATTTATTTACAGTGTTGGGCTATATGGACATTTGGACTTATAAATAATATGGACAAATATGGACATAGTAATTTACGGACATGGACATATAGGTTTGGACATAGTCCAAATTTTTTAAAAAATATGCATATACCAAGTGCCAACACTGTTTATTTATTACGTAATTTAAATTATTACATTATTTATACGTATATATAATATAATGTGTATATATCGATATTATTTTACTACGACGTAATGCTAGCACTACTGACTTATATATACTACGTATATAAGTGCAAAAATTATACGTACTTTACACATGATTTCCTCATTAAGTATTTTACATCTACGTATATTTGGTATTACTTAAAGAGTCTTATACGTCAAAGAATTAAGATCGATTCTACTAGTAATTTTCCAGCATAATCTGGTGTAATTCTACATTGTTCCCAAACTTTAATAATCTCCTGTTGAGTTAGTAGATAGGGTATATTTTTCTTTGAATAGTCACCTCCCATGTCTTCTACTTTAGGTTCTTTTTCAAATAATGCTTGTTTCAGAAAGTATCTGATTGAATTAATCAACCTTTTATCGATTTCCAAAGGCTTTACATCGAAAAGTGGATATTCTGTCAAATTTACATGCACGTTCCAAATGCCATCTCGTTCTATTATTTTGTTGGCAAAAACTGAGAGAATCACATCTCCAACATTATTGGTTGTATTTGGAGGTCCGATGAGGCATGTGATATGCTCTGCAACGTGTGCTTTTCCGTGATCCACTGTTATCATTTTCCCGGCACAAACGGCATAATTCTTGTGTTCACCATCATTAATAATTAAAGGAAAAAATAATGAAGTTTTTGATTGATAAGCCCTGGTAGACTTTGAATGAAAAATGGGGCTGAGTGCCGTGGCAGTTTCTGGACATCCATTAATGCCAGAGAATCTCAATTTTTTTTGATCCTCTGGATATAATGAGGATCCAACGGTGTATGATGTTGCACCTATATTATTTGTACTATTTGTATTATTTGTGCCATTTGCACTATTTACATTATTGGCATCAGCCCAGACACCATTTTTGACCGTCCTTAATTTGGGCGCTAAAAACACTGCATCCGGTAAATGCGATTCTATATGATTACATAAAAAAGATTTCGTTCTAGCTCGGTATCGAGAATGGGTCCACAACGGTATAGCGGGTTTTGCGAACTCAACATAACTATATTCATAATCACCATCAGGGCCTAATAATTCGCTATCCGGGTGTACCATTTTCTGTATAATTCCAATATCCTTTTCAAATGTTTCTACTAACACCTGCCTTGGCGGGAGGACTTTAGCAGAGAATTCGATTGTGTGATTGCGATTAAACTCTGAAGGACAATTTTTGAAAACGCGAGTATCATTACATGGTGTAACTCGAAATAAATTTTGATGAAATGCTGCCATAAATAAAGTTGTAAGGAGTAAAACATTGGGTTCCCGTCGCAGCTGAACCTTTTTAGAAATGATCTCGTATTGACGATCAAATACATTCATCCAAGGATTTAAAGTTCGTAAATTGCTGGTTATTTGATATACAGACGTGCTCAATTTTGAAGAGGATTGGTGATCTTTTAGTTTATTGGTCATCAATGTTTCAGAGATCAAGTTATCATCATCCTGCTGCCTTTCGTCCAAAGTGGACAAATCAAGAATGTGAATAGCACTATCAATATATTGTTCAGTGTCAAGGTCTGAGTACTCCAAAGATTCATCTGGAATAATAAGATGCGAGTTATTTACACGATTCCTACGTATTTTATCTCGTTCTTGTTTTGTTGGAGGCGAACATATATTTTGATAAGATAATGACTCTCGGATAGTGATCACCAAGTCTTGTATTTCGCGTATCCAATATAAACTAATAAACTGTTGTTGACACCAATTTAATTCTTCAGTCCTATCAAATTCACTGTCATTTTGTGTCGTCTCTTCCCAAAATAAATAAGCACGAAGGTGGGATATTAAGTCAGAACCTCCCTGTAACTTATATTCATCAGGTAAATTTAAATGAAATCTTTTCATCGCTGCACTAATAGCTATTTCTTGATTAGGTGGCTGCACAATAACGCCTCGATTTTGTAGGATAGCTGTTGACAAGAAGAACGTAAATTCAAATATTAGTCTATTATCTTTCCTTAGGTTAGAGGTGCGATCCGTAATCCGTTTTCATATGTATTTAACCGGTTTGGACCAGTTTTTATATATGAAAACGGATTACGGATCGCACCTCTACCTCAGGTTATTATTAAGAACACCAAAAAAATTCATGCTTACCCGCAATAATCATAGTGTCATACAAAGATCCAAATATAGCCCCATATACAACTAATAATCCTGAATGAAGATCGATCGGAAGCTGTGCGAGGATTGATCCAAGCCTAGTCACTTCGTATTCATAGGTTATCACGCTTCCTTGAACCCAGTCATCTGTTTCCTTAATTATTGGATTAGATTTAGTGACAGCTCCTGTTGTTTCCAGATCTTCTAATGCGTAATCAACCGCAGTATCATCAGGCGGATCTATACAGTGGGACAACAATGTACGGGGATCTCCGAAATTTGCATATATGCATCTCAGCAATAAGGAATTGAGTGGCGTTCTTCGAATCTCGGGAGTCCTTTCTTCACATAATTGGTCATAAAATCTTTTTGGTACGAACCTATAAAGCTGGAGATCATAAAAAATTAAAAAGACGACATTTATAATGATAAAATTGTTACAAGTAAATAGGGTGTGCAATGGGTCGGGTTTGCTTAGGCCGAACCCAACCCGTTAAATTATGAGCCCAGCCCGATTCATTATAGAACCAAAAATCTAGGCCCGGATCTGGCTCGAACATGGCTCAACCTATATAAATTACCGGGCCAAGCTCAACCCGTTTTTACAAGCCCGACCCAATTAATTTACGGGCCTGAAAATCCAGGCCCAGGCCCGGCCCGAACCCAGCCCAACCCGCAAATTAACGGGTTTGGCCCGGCCCATTGCACACCCTACAAGTAAACTAATAATTTACCACTCCAGGTCCTACTCTACCAGCCCTTCCGCGTCGTTGTTCAGCGCAGTCTTTACTTATCCATTGCTCGTTCAAGCTATAACATCTCGCGGCTTTATCATAATACACATCTTTGCGCAAACATGAATCAAATATAATTCGTACGTCGGGGACAGTTATTGAACTTTCGGCAACATTAGTTGCTAATATGATCTATATTTATCAAAATATTTTATTAGTATAAGATTGAAAGTACAAAGGCAACGCTCGCAGAAAGAATATTTTACAGCACTTTTCGGTGATTACTTTTGGGACGTTGCATAATTACACATTGCTCATCTATCGTGACGGTAGAGTGAAGCTTTATAACAGTCATAAAAGGAATTGGTTTTCCGCCATTCTGCATCATTCCACATCTAATGAATACAATGTTTTCAAATAAAAGAACGTTTCATATTTAGCAGTTATTAGCACAAGTTATCTGAAGCGAACGGATGACACCACAATAAAGTTTGTCTGTTCGCTTCCATGATACTGATTGGTTGAATGCATGATAACAAACCACTCCGGACACATATTACCCGTATACACATACCGTTGTTGTTCATTACAAAACATCAATTGGTCTTCCTATACGGTTTCAAATACCATTAATTGTAAACCAAAAATAAATAAAAAAATAATACCCGATTCAGATCTTACCACTTCAGCAATGATAGATATTCCCGACAAAAAAACCAAAAATGCTTCATCGGCCGAACATGTGACATGGCAATGCATAATCCAGTTTATTAAAACGTCCCTTCTTTCTTGCATCATTGCAGGTTTCTTAGGCTCATTCATAATTAGCGTTTGATACGCTTCGGTAACTTCCAGACCCTGACAAACATCTTCTAGATAGAATACATCAACAGAAAAATTCTTAGAGGGTATATCTATCCATGGGATTTTCGATGTAATACCATCTTTCTCGGTTTCGAATTCACGAAAATAATCCGTAAACTTTTGGACATTCATAGTAGCCTAAATGTGTTGACGGATATACAGTATAAGTAAATAATTGGGAATCAAATGAAAGATTCTAAACCCACCGACATAATGATCAACTTTAAAGATGGATTCATTCTCATAATTTCGCAAAGGTGAGCCATCATTAAATCGTCGTCGACATTTCGTTCATGGATCTTTGAATTCAAAAGTTGACATATTATGATGAAGCTAATGTTAACAAAAATAAACGAAACTTATAAGTGTATACCTCATCCATGATTACATGAGTGTAAGACTTTAAATATCGATCTGCTTTTAACATTTCCAACAAAATGCCTGTCGTGACATATAATAATCGAGTTGACGAGGAGTATCCATTTTTACCACCAATATGAAACCCCACTTGCCCACGAAGCTTCGTTCCCCGTTCAGAAGAAACTCGATGCGCAAGAGAAGTCGCAGCGATACGACGCTTAGACAAATGTAAAATTAAACAAGATATTTAGTTGTAAGCCATTAGCTACATGAATCACCCCTAAAAATATATGATACCGGTTGTGTACATATTATGTTAACGGAAGTATTTCGTTGTAAGCAATCATCGAGTATGTATTGCGGGACTTGGGTTGACTATGAATTAAATTATTAATTATCAGTATGAACAATGAATATATCTTTAAATAAATACGTTCCTGTTAATTAATACCTTGCCACATCCCGTACTTCCACTTAACACAACTACCTTATTTTCTCGAATAATGTTAACAATATCATCCCTGCGTGATTCAATAGGAAGTCGTGTCCGCTTAACTTTAGGAATCCAAGCAGATCCATCATCAATATGAGAATCCGGTGGCGAAAAATATTTTGTTGATGCTTTAAACTTTTTGTAATTAAGCATATAAACTGAAGGCCTTTGCGCGGATTTAACTGGACAAAGAGAATTACGGCTAGCATGTTCTATATACCCATTTTCGGGGGCGCCTTCCAACTGTAAACTGTTTGACGTATCAGAACCGTTTGATGATAAGTTCACTCCTTCGTTCAATGAGCCATTAGTCAATAACTTTTTACGTAAATTAAGCTTGACTTGTTCACGCTGCAATTTCTTGAGATCAAAAACTATATCCTCAGCTGAAGAATCATCATCGTCTTCGCTAGTGCTGTCTTCAGAATAACTCTCGTCCGAGTCAGCCAATGAAGAGGCCGAGCAGATACAATCCGCTAAGGTTGAAAAAGTATCTGTATCAGTACGAACAAACTCATTATTAGCATCGTCAATTTTCTGTGCGTTCTTTCCATTTTTAGACTCTTGAGTTTGTACGTCAAGATAAGAATTTTTGCTAGAGGCTGTTAAAGCAACAGAATCATTCTTGGGAATAGAAGCCAATGAACCAAAATACCAATCTATGTCATCTGCCATTTTTCTCTTTGCTTTTTTGCAATTGATAATTAGTATTTCATATGGGCCAATTTGACTCCATTCGATTTTGTCACATGTGATATTTAACGAAATATGAGTGCTGCCTACAAGTTATACTTTAGTTATATATAATATATATATATACTTATATTATTTGAATCGTCTTAATGAGACGATTCAAATAATATTAAATCTTAAATGTTCAATTATTTAATTTTATAATATTTTTATAAGTTTTAGTTTTACGTATTAAAAAATCATAGATAAAAAAAAACTAAAAAATATAATTTTCTAATATATACTGTATTAATGGTTTGGATTCAGGCTTCTGTACTAAATTAGTATACAGTAAACCTCTTTAAGTGCACTCTCTATAAGTGCACGCCCTCTTTAAATGCACGCTCAAGAGCAGGCCCAAATATATACTTGATCTTTATAAATACACTTTTTCTTATTATTCTTTATATGCATGTTATTACTGTATTAAAGTGTGGTTTCAAGGGCATGCACTTAGAGATCTGATTGTATTTTTAAAAGCTTGTAAAAAATATACAGTATATATATTGTTATAAATAAAAAAAATATGAATTTAAATAATTATAATTTGCTGTGGCAGATCGCATCTGGGCACCTCTGAGTAGCCAGATGAGTTTTTATTGAAGAGAAGGAAGGGTTGTTGGCAATAGCTGGGAACTTATATATCTATTACACATTCCTTATACAATAAAGGCAGAATTGCCAAATTTTTTTTAAAAAAAATAATAATAATAATTATAAATACATATAAAGAATTAAAAATGGGTTTAGACTTTTGTACTACTAGTAGTATATTTATTAAAGCTTGTAAAAAATTTTTATATACAAAAATCTGATAATTACTCTAGTATTGTCTAAATTAATTTTTTTTAATTAATTGGTTTTTATAGCTTAGCCAGATCAAAATTTGAGAACTTTAAAAAAAAATTTGTATATGTTTTAATAACCAGGTAGGTTTAAAAAAATTTTTATATAAATTTTATAAAATTTTATATATGAGATTTTTTTAAAAAAAGCCAGCTAACCAGATTTATTTAAAAGTTTTATATTATATTGTAAAAACCAAGTAATTAAATTTATATAGTCTAATAATAAAATTTTTATAAATGATTGGTATTAAGGTAATTTCTATTTATATCTTTTTATTAAAAGTATTATTTTATAATTACAATAAAAATATATACTATTACAATGCTATGGCCTTTTTGGTTACCACGTAGCAAAGTAACAAGGTCACCCAGTGTAGGGACCCTACTATTGGGGTGTATACAGAGTGGAAGTGGAGTGTGCTCTAACTTCTACTAGCAGGAGACAATGATTCAACATAGAGATAGTAAAATACTTTATTTATTATAGATCAAAGAGGATAAGCTCACCTACTAAAATTACCCTAGAGAGAGTATATTACTTTATACAAGATAAGAATAGTAAAAAGATAAGGCTAGATTCTATGAAAGGGTAGAGAACTCTAACTTAAGCAAAAGAGGCAAAGGCTTCCTTTTTATAACTTTTTTATATATAAGAAATATAACAACTAAACTGTATAAAAAGCACTTAGAGGCACTTGTACAAAAGCACTTGGAGGTACTTATAGAGACATTTAGAGGTACTTGTGCAGAGGCACTTGGAGGCACTCATACAGAGGCATTTAAAAATACTCATGCAAAGGCACCTGGAGACACTTGTATAGCATTATTGTACTATATATAACTAGCCAATAATATTTTATAACTAATACAATAATAAAGATAATAACTTATACTATACTAATAAATATAACTATAACAATAACTAATACTAAATAAATATAACTAATATTGTATAGATCTGTGGGTCGATAGCATAGCAGTTATGCTTCCAGGTTACAAATCAAAAGGTTGCCGGTTCAATTTCTCCCAGCGGCAAAATAATGAAAACTCAAATATAGAAGTGAAACACCATGGGGCATAGAGAACTCAGAATATCTATGAATAAATGTATTCGGGAAATAGTTATTCTGAGAAGTTGTGGCTGTGAAACAAAACATGTTAGAACCCCGATTTGGAATAACCAAAGTCACGAGACGTAATGTAAAACCGAGTCTGATAAAGATACTACAAGAACTTGTAGCGACACCAGATTGGCTGGTGAAATTCTAGTACAATAGAAAGGTGATTTGACCTCTCTAGAGTGTCATACAGGCGGTCAGATCTAGGCCCTAATGAGAGAACTGGAGAATGTTGGGCAGCGAAATTCCAGGTGGATAACACATAATACCCATATGGGGTTATGAAGGTCCTGTGACACTAAGTAGTATGCATACTAGAGTCAACTATATAATAGCTAGAACCAAAGTCACGGCGAGACTTGCCGAAGATATAAAAAAAATAAAAAATAAAATAAAAAATAAAAAAAAACTAATATTGTATATACAAATAATAAACTATAATCCACTCTCTGCTATGCTAATATTACATTGTGTTACAATCTGCTTTGTAATATCTTCCTTCTCTTAAGATTTTACTTCGTAAAATTTACTTTAACTACTATATTTGTTTACAGAGAGTTATGAGTTTATAATAATTCTCGTTGTTATCACCACATACAAAAATTCTATTTTTGCTTGTATTTTTCTTTATTTACTATATAGTTTTACTTTTTAAAACAACTATGTGCAAAAATTTTAATTCGGTATTATTTGGCAATGCTTGATATACTTGGCAAAAATTCTTGGTCTAGTATATGTTTAAGCATTTTTTTTGTCTATTCTCCTTTAAATTCTGTAAGGTCCACTGAACTTCTATTTTTGTATGTCTAAAATTAGCTTTCATTTCTAATTTGTTCATCTTTGTCTAAATTTGTAAATTATATTATTATTGTTTGTGATTTTCTTTGTTTCTACTATATGATAATTTTCTTTGTTTTAGAAAAATTATCTTATTGTTTTTAATTCTATTTATATTCTTGTTTTTTCATGTATGCTGTTTCTCAAAATTCTATATACAAATCTTTTTTTTTCTTATATAGTCCTTTCTATTTTCCTTTTTATATTTCTTTATGTTAAAAACTTTCTTATCTAATACTCTTTTTTTTTTTTTTTTTTAGCAATAATTTCTCGTTAAATTTTTTTGTCTTCCTGGTCTTTGCTTTTTTTGTTTTTTGTCTAAAAGTAGATATACTTTTTGGGCTGTGTGCTAAACTTCATTAGCTTTACTTTTTTAGGGCAACTGCCAGCCTTTCATATCTAGGTAAACTAACAGTTAGAGTTCTTATTAAATTAAATCAAATCAAACTCAAACTATTTTTAAAAAAGTATTTAAGTTTGATTTGAAGACAAATTTTTTAGCTAAGTTTGATTTGATTTAAAATTTGACTCAAAGTTTGCAAACTGTTTGAATAGTTTGAATTTAATAAAGCTTTAAAAAAAAAAATTTATTTTACAAACTTACAAAATATACCAGAAATGAAGTATATGGTTTATTATGACATGTGTGTCTGCAAAATCTCATAACTGATTGGATATTATATTAAATGCAATGAAACATAAAATTCTGCATTTAAAATTTGGTAAAATTAATATTGCCTATATTTCAGATTTGGATTGAGTGAAATACTTATATTTTGTCTACAATACTAATTTCACAGATTAATAAATCATCTTTATATTCATAAACTGAATAAAATGATTTGAAAGTATTTATGAATAAGTATATGATTTCAATTATCTTTGAATAGTCTTTAGAGCCATTAATGGCTTATTCCAAAGCTGGTTTTAGCTGCACAATGGAGCCAAGCTGACCAAAGCTGATGAGCTGCAACTTAAGCTATAACTAAGTATCAGCTATAGCTGAATCGTGTTTAAAGTCAAAACTCCAGATTAAACCATAATGATTGGTAAATAATACCAATAAGCTTTGCATTAAATATTATTACATTGCTACAGTAATAATGATTTTAAAGGGGTGTGGCGGCTTAGTGAAGTGGTCAAGTCGTCACCCTCTCCAAGTAGCAGGTCTAGGGTTCAAATCTCACGGATGACGAAAGTTTGAAAAATAGGCTTGCATTATGGTAACAGATCTTCATTAAGTTGGGGCTTAGATTAACCTGTAATCTTGGGTCACACCAATGCTCTGTATTGGAAAGTTGTCACTG